CATAGTAAGATGGGCTTTTCTTGTAATGAATCCACAGCAGTGTTGGTTCAAACCGTATGTGACTAAAGAGGGTCTGTGTGTGCATGCAAATTTTGAATGCTGATCAGTGTATAATTTAGGTGAAAGATAACTGTTACCACTATTTTAATTAAAAGTTTGTCTGGTCTCTGTGTTAGCTGACAGTATCAGCTGAGTATTTGTTCTCTGCCTTGCTTTTCACCCTCCTGTTACTGGAAATTGTGGTGCTGGGATTCTGCAGTTATCTAGACCCACAACACTTGTCAGTGAGAAATCCTGCTATAGCAGATGAGAAATTGTCATCTTTCAAAATGGAGAAGTAAAGATACTTGTGGTCTTTAGGTACCTTCAGGAATTGTGAGATTTACCAAAGGAGACAATATGAGTCATTCCCTTCTACGGCTGCCTGCCTTGGCTTATAACCTAGGCATTTGACATGATCATTAATATTTTAGTTAAAATTTTCGGATAATATAATTTTTTTTTCTCCCTGCATTGTCAAATATGAAAACATTGTAGGCAAAGAAGTCAAGACTTGACTTTTAAAGTGGTGGAATTAAATGATTCATGAGATGACCAAACCATAGCTGAAGTTTTGGTAAATGGAAACATTGTGTTCATCAGAAATGAATCAGAATATTGGAGTAAGAAAATAGACTTTAGGTCTGAAAACTTTGTCCTTAACTTTTTTTCACCTTTCATTTTACTTGGAGTGGAAAGTAAGGAACATGTTAGAATGCACTCAGAAGTTTGTGGAATAATGATAATTTACCCAGATTTCTGCCACAGTGGCTGCCATTATGAATATTCCTGTATTACAGCTTGCTAGTCTTTATTTCCTAATATATTCCTTATAAAAATGATGTTCTGACTAATGTCAGTTTTCAGGAGTGCTAGCTGTAAATTGGCTTACAGAAGAGATGATCAGAAGTTTTTCTTAATTTCTTTCCCAAATTTGAATTATAAATAAGTAGATCTGTTAGTAATAGTTGAATCAAGTTTTTTAATATTAATTGCTTCCTTGTCAGAAGAACAAAACCCTACTAATCTGTCAAAGTCAGCTGAAGTTTCTAATGGCAGAGCAACTTGTTATTTACAATGGAAGTTCTTAAAGAAATAGTAGATGTTAAAAAACATTTTATACCTTTGATAGACTTTTTGTGACAGCGATATTTTTCTGCTTGTTGAAATGTAGTTAATGTGATGTTTCATGGTATTGTAGCCAGACACATGGACAAATGTCAAGTAGGCATGTGGACCAATAATTTATAGCAAGTACTCTTTTTTGAATGTTAGAAGCTGTGTAAAGCTGAACATTATCACGTTGTTAAGGCTAAGATCTGACCTGCATCTTTAGAAGCTGGTTGTATGTGACATTGTAGGAAGTCAGCTGATACAGCAGTAAAGAGATGATTTCTGACAAGACTTACATAATTATATTTCTTACGTCTAGAGTCTCCTCTCCATAGTGAAAACCTTTGCCTGTTTTCATTAGCAGTGTAATTGTGCTGTACAATTGATGTTTGCACTTCAATTATGGGTGGAAGCCTCTAATTTTCATAAATAAGATGAGATTTTAGTAAATTTTAATTGGATAAAAAAATGGATTGATACCTGTTTCATGTTGAAGACAATAGCTGCAAAGAATACATCAGTCCTACTGGGGGGGTTTTGATGATTTTGGTGGGAATGTTGTTCTTCTTCAAAGCTGCTTATTTTGGCAGAAACAGAAAGAAACATGCAGTATTGTCTGTGTACTCTGAGGTAGGGGAATGCCAGGAATGTTTTGTTAGGGATAACTAGAAGATGGATAGAAGAATGAAAGACTTAGTGCCATGTATTTCTTTATATAAATGAGTACACGTTTAGTGGAAATCTTTTATACTTTTCCTCAAATAAATTTATGCATTTTCATAGCAGTGTAAGAAATTTAGGATGACTCCTTGTAGAGACCAGACACAGTCAGATGTGTCGCTGCGTTGTAAGGGGAGTACAGTTCTTCCCCAGCACGAAGAACTTCAGACCCTGGTTTTGAAAACTGTTTTTCTTGTGGTTTAGCCTTTATTTCTCGTGAAACTTATTAATTTGTGAGTTCCAAGTAGCAAATAAAACAGGCTCAAAAGAAGGGCAAGCCATTTCCATGCTTTTGTAAATAAGTAAATAGTTTCAGTCTTTTCAAAGATGGCAAAATCACTAATGCAATCTGATGTGGATGCTATGCACTCTATAGTGTAGGATTGACTAGAGCATCTGATATTCAAAGAGAAAGACATACAGTGGTTTTCATGGTTTCTAGCAATATTTCTTTCTGGGTTCTTTCTTGTTTATCCTCTGGCATGTTGTTAGTCCAGGCAGACATTGACTCTTCAGTTAGTTCACTTTTTCACATTCTGAAAATCTACATTTTCATCTGATCTCCCCCTTGCTGTTTAAAAAAAAAAAAAAAGTTTCCAAGGATATACATTCTTCTGACTTCTGTACCAGCAAAACTTAGTTTGGTAACTAAGAAAGTTTCATGAAAAAAACTGGGAAAAGGGAGGCCATGTGTCACACGTAAGGTGAGGAAAAAACACTTCTACAGGGACCTCACAGCTGACACAGAACAAGTTCAGCAGGTCATGGAGTGATAATGTGAGTTAGTGTCAGTGGCAGGACTATGAGTCCTGAACATGCTTTCGAATATAAAAATGGTCTTGTGATTTTGGCACTCATGGTTCTGCTGGCTTACCTTGTGAGTGTATACCTCATCTGAGGTGATCAAGGGTTACTTACATACAGGGCATGATAACCACTGAGTCGGCAAATAGTAGAAGATAATATTAGCAAATGGAAACCAAGACTTTCAGTATTTACTGATTTATATCAGTAAATACTGAAAGTACTGGGTTCCATTTGCTACCCATCCTCATGTTGTCATGAAGTCAAAGTGGGAAATTACCACCTCTTGCTTGTAAAGTTGGGTTCTGCCTGTAGTGTTTTGTCAAAATGTAACATAATGCCAAAACCATATTTTATGGCTAACTAACTTTGATGGAATTGTCAAAACATACCTTCAGAGTCCCAACAACTTTAGAAATGAAGTAACCATTTCAGTGGCAATGATTACGTAATCTCCACTGTTCATCCTTTTTCCTGAAACCTGTTTCCTACTTGGTATTAACTCAGCATCCTTGTATGATTCCAGATTTCTGTTAGTCATGTGTTTTTTATTTCATTAACCCATTTTATTTTATAGAGGAGTTATTTGAAGATAGACCATATTCCACTAGCAGTATTGCTACTTTAGTGATTCCATCAGGGAACATTCTGTGAAGTATGTTCCCTGATGTAGTACCTTAAATGATTACTAGTGTCTGGCATTACATTCTGCCTGACTTAATGCAGAGAAAATGTTTTAAAGAGTATCTAAAATCTAAAGTAAATTGGAGAAGGATATGATCTCCTTAATTTTTACTCTCTCTAACCCTAGTTCAGGAATTTTTTTTTTTTTTTGGCTGCAGTTGCTTCCCATTCATATAGAATTGTTGTAATCAGTTTTATTCTGGATTACTGGTGGTGGTTTTATGGCTAGTTTACTGTAGAAATACAAATGTGTGGAAGAAGATTACATCTTTTTGTATACCTTTTGCTGCAATTAACAAAATAGTTCTTTTCTGTCTGCATTGAATTATTACACTAATGATTCTGTCACTTTTCTGCTTTGATGATAATATGATATATTTGTTTTGCACAGCTGAATGTATTATTGAAAAAGAATACTGAAGTCACTGTTCAGGCTATATTTAATCACAACACTACAACATCATGAATCAAAACTGCAACTAATGATCAACTTGGTTCTTGTTTTCTGGGTACATGCATGGTTATCAGGCTTAGGTTTGTGTCCTCTCTCAGGTCACATGAGATGTGGTTAATACTTTGATTCTGAAGAACAAAAGAAACATAAATTTTCTTTCCGAAAATACACATGCAAATGTTTGCTCTCAGGCACATGGTGTGATTGTTGGGAATGTCCTGTACAGCGCCAAGGGTTGGACTTGATAGTCCTTGTGAGTCCCTTTCAGCTCAGAATATTCTGTGATTATGGTATTTTATAAGCAGATGCAAGAAATGGGGAAAGAGCATTTCTGAAATAAAGCTGAATAGTGGAATGTAATACGCTAATGTGAAGAACACAGGAAAACTGAATTCCAGTTGTTCATAGCTTTCTTGATTAAAAAAAGGGTACCAGCAGGGGTAAAAAAAAAATCACTTTTGGGATACTTAGATTACCTGAAAGGACACTATGGAGATCAGAGAATGGAGAAGTTGATTATCTTTTGTGGGAGCTTCAGTTGTCAGATGCATGGCTATTATAGCCATGTAGGCATGGCTACTCCAGAAAAATGCAAATTTAGTAGTAAGCAACAGAAAACATTATTTGGCTCTGCCAGTATTATAGCCAGAAATCACTGTTTGTAATTGGAATTCTAAAGTTATTATGGATAATGACTAAAGGACCAGCTAAAAAAAATCAAAAAACAAACCACAAAGCAGAGAAATAGAAACCTAGAAGGAGGTAGAATTGATGTTTAAAGATGGAGTCACAGAAATCACTTACCTGCATATTTTAGTTTACTTTTTCTTTTACTGAAATCTCATCTGAGTAATAATTTCTCAGAAAGTTCAGTGTCATTGTTCACACTTAATGTTGAGTAGGAAGAGCCCAGTTGTGTCTTAGTAAGCACTTAAGGGAAACTGCTTTCAAGGTGGCAATACCATTATTTGGGAATTGCAGTCAGAGAGTGGCAATTGTTAAATGAATATAGCAGGGAGTACTTACTTTACCTACAAGACAGCTGTATTTTTTCCTGGTTCTTTTCAGTCCAGCACTGTACAAGCAGCAGGCCAACCCACATACTGGGTGGGTTTTGTGTGTGGTGTTTCTTGCCTTAATTTCATATTCTAGATAACTGTTAACAACTTTCTAAAACTATTTTCAGCTTTAGATCCGGCTAAAGATCCATGTTTGAAGATGAAATGTAGTCGCCATAAAGTCTGTGTTGCACAGGATCAACAAACTGCAGTTTGCATTAGTCACCGAAGGCTTACACACAGGTAAATACTTCAAAAGTTAATCCTATAGACAGTTTTGTAGTGTTCATGACTGACTTGTAAACTATAAAACCATTTTAATTAGATTAATTACTTAACAACATATGAGCACAGTAGAAGTGGGTTTTAGAAGTCATTATGTATGTCATTATGCAGTCCTTACTAAATCATAATTTAATAATAATGCTTACTATTTTTTTTTTTTGTACTAGGAGGTATACATGTTTGAATATTGTAAGCTGCTGCTACAAATACATTTAGGGAAATCGCCATTGTGCCAGTATCAAATGAATAAAATGATTGTGATAGTATCCTTCTTTTGTACATTACTTTGACATCATCACTTCTTATATTAAGCTAGAGAACTCAAAACTGTCTGCTGAATTGTAGGTAACAGCCTGATACAGTGTAAGTTAGAGATTAGTGGGGGGTTTTCCCCCCTCTTTTTCTTCTTTTGTGCATTCTGATTTTCTTTGCATGCTGGACTGGTTAAATGTAAGGAGAAAATACATAATGAATTACTGTATTTTTGTGGCTTTATCTGAGGCAGAAATATGAATATGTAGGACCTGAACCATACACTTAGTTGAGTCATGACTGTTGCTTGCTGTGGAGATGGAGTCAAATTGCATTTTCAACTTGAGATTGTTCTTTTTTTCCCTGCTTCATTGTGGGAAACAGGACACAGTAGAATGGTTAGATTTCAATAAATTGATTTAAATAAGTGTCTGTTAAAGTACTTTTCTCAGTAGGGGCTGAAAAGAGCTGAGAAAATAAGACTTCCTTGTGTGTTGGAAGAGGATCATTTCAAGCACAGTTTTATGAATGATACAAGGAATGTTCTTCTGAGTGTCTGGTTATGTTAAATACATCCATCTGGAGCTTTTCAAACAAGCAAGATAGTACATAGTGAAAGGAAAAGTTTAAACTGTTCTCGATCTGCAGCTGTACTTAATTAACAAAAAACTCAACAGTGTTTGTGGAGTTACACTGTTTATATTAAACAATCTCAGTGTAGAGCTAGACATTTTAGTTTGATAAGGTACTATATATGGTGCAAGAATTATTATCAGACAAAGGTAGGTAGTCTGATTTCAACTGCATGTGAAGCTTCAGGAATATTATGAGTGTTAACTCTGAAGAGACAACATAATAATTCAAAATTTCTAAGAGGTATTACATGTCATGGAAAACAATGAAAATAATGACATTTCCTAGTTAAGTATACATGCAGTAGATGATGACTGAAAACTCTTTTAGATTAGATGAAGATGCATACTTGTGTTGAATTAAGAAAGTTTTTGACATCTGCCTTCATTCCTGTATTATTCCTCCCACAGTTCTTGTACTCTTTTAGAAAGGTAATATTTTAAAAGGCAAAACTTGCCTGAATACAAGGCAGTCAATAATGGGAAACTTTGGAATGTCAGCAACTTGATGATTGTAAAAAGCACTGTAAATCTAGTCTTGTAAGGCAGATGAAGCAATTTTTTGCCTACCTGTGCCAAGCCAGGGCAGGGTTTTCCCAAGCTTAGATCTCCCTGTTCTGCCAGATTACCACATACAAGAAGAAATAATTTTGTTTGTGCTTTTTTTCTAAAAAGGTTTTTTATGCAGTTTCTGACCTTTTTGTAACATGGTGGGATTAAAGTATGACTATCATAAACACAAGCAGTCGTCTGCAGGGTTTCTTTACCACTAGAGATTTTCTTTGCCTAACATGTTACTCCTTCACTTGTATCTGCAGTTTGCCTGCTGATTATCAGTAGGGCCATCTGTTTCTCAGAATTCCCAAAGGTTCAGTCCACTCAGTGTGAGTCTTGGTAAAAATTAGATGAGAAAGCATAACTTGACAGTTGATAACATAACTTATCTACCAGTATCCATTACTAATGTATCATTTGTGTGTAATCTGTTGTGAATAAACATTAGCAAAATGTTTCATCCCAGTAATCCTTCTAGTTCGTGTGTGTGCACGTGTGGTGTTCTAGGATTGGATAATAGGAATAATTAAGAAAAGGCAGTTGGGGATGTTTTCTGAAAAAATAGTTGAGACCTTTTTCATGAATTACTGAGAACTCTTCATAAAGAGCTTGCCCATAGATTTTAATTTGGACATATTTGCTGTATAGATCCATAGATTTTTTTTTCCCCAAGACTCTTGCACAGGGAAAGTAGTTTAAAATACTTGAATTGATACAGTGGCAAAGATGATACCCAAGGGACTGTCAGAGAAGTGGATACTGTGCACACTTCCAAGATAAATAAAAAGTTTATGGGCACCTTTGGGCTACCCCGGGGGAAAGAGGCATGAAATACAGTTACAGCTGAATAGATTTTTCTGTAGTGTCATCAACTTGAAATGCTCTGATTTACAGTTGAATTCTCAATTACTAGAAGCAGCATTTCCAAGCAGCCCTATTACCTAGTTCATAAATTTCTATTTATAAATTCTGTTACTTTCTTTAGATAATAGCATAAACAGGGAAATTGCTAATCACTGAAGACTGATAATTGTATCAAATGGAGGATTCAATTTAGTGATTTCTTTTGTTGTTTGTAAGAAATTAAATTGCAAAAAACCCACATCGGCATATCCATTGTTATTCAGTCTGTGCTGTCCTAGCTGTTCTTCTCTATATAGTACAATCTCCAAATTATTGTAGCCCAGTTTGGATTACTGAGGGCCCAGCCATCTACAAGACTGGTAGTGACAAGGTCCCAACAGGATTAATTAATGTGACAGCACACTTTAGTGATGATTCTACCTGTGCTTTCAGAAGTATTAAAATTTCTATTGGCTTGGGGATCTCAGCACTGTGCTCTTGCTGCAGTGTGCTTGCATTTGTATGGTTTCACAGCCAGCTATTGTATCTCACTGTCCTTTTCACGGAGTTGTGGGTCAGGCAAGCCTATGGTTTAGCTCTTTCCTCAGTTTCCATGGCAGCTGAGATCATGGTCTCCCCTCAGTCTTCTCTCAAGGCTCATTTCCTTTTCTGGTAGGCTGCCAAGATGGCAAGTCCTCTTCTAGCACTCTCCTGCAGGGCCGCAGCACAAGAGCTTCCTTTATGTGCTGTCCTGGAAAGTCTGAATAGCATTTGACAAAAAGATGTAATAGGTGTTGTAAATCATTGGTCATGAGAATAGTTGGAAATACCAGGACTTTTAAAACACAGGGACGTGCTTAAAGGAGCAAGGTTTTTGTTGGTAGCAGGTAACAGCATTTGCATCTTTGCTGGCTCTGTGTCGGAAGCTGTGTTCTGTGTGCTGCACACTTAGCTCTGTACTTTGAAGGAAAGATAATGTGCTTGAGGGGAAAACATGCAGGATATGTATATAAATGTTGTTCACATTATTCCCATGTGGAAAGGGAGCATCTGCTGTCGCTAGAATGCATCATAAAAAGGTAGCTCAAACTGTGTGTAAAATAAAACTTTCATTGATTTTTTGAAATTTGGAAATTTGTCATTAACTTTTCATTTTGGCTGAATGGTGTTTTGCCATTCCATTGTGCTTTCCAATTTATCTTTATTGGTTAAGTGAAAGGGCTTTATGGGGAAAACCTTTAAAGGGTCTTTACGTGAAATAATGAAATGCTTTGGAATATACCTTATTCAGTTACAAATACAGCTCACAGAATATGAAATACAGTATTGCTTCTACTGGGATGTGTTGGTGTGAGTGTTATGGTGACAGGCAGGATATTCATCACCCTAAGGGAAATCGTTTACTCATTTTAGTTTCCAATCTCTTCACTCTCAGGAGATTTAGTTATTTGCATCTGCAGTACTAAGAATCTCTGGCAAATACAAGTTCACCCCTGTGAGCTTGGGGAAGAGGAAAGCAGTTATGTGAGTGTTCTGCCAGGAGACAGTTGGACAGGAATAAAAAGGGATGAGTCAGAGGAGAGGACTGTAGGTGGTAATGGACACTTCATAATGCCCACAATGGAATGTATGCTTTTTGTATACTTAGAGCAGCAGGTGGTAGAAATAAATCCTTAAATATCCATGTACTTCTTGTTGCCACTTTGAGTGAGGAAAGAAAGGATATGTGCAGACACCACAATATACAGGAGCTCATTAAGTCCATGCAAGCTAGTAACTAACCGGGCTCAGTAAACTGGAAAGGTTAGTCCAGCAGTGGCCTATCCTAGATTTACAGGCCCTGATAATAGTGTGTTAACTTTCTTTAGATTTGAAACAGACAATTATGATATTGACACATACTGTAATTTTTGCTAAGTATGGCATTCTGTGAATAACAGGCTGCAGTACTAAATAAACTAAGCAGTGTATAGGTGAAGATCTGAGGCAGTAGGTTAGCTGCAATTGAAGGGCAGGAAAACTTGAAAAAATGGGGAAGGATTTCTGCCCAGCAGAGAATTTTACTGTAAGCCTAACAGTAAACATGGGACAGTGCCTGTGTTTTCAGGTGAATTAGTTTTATTGGAATCCTTTTTGTACTCCATGTTTGTAAAAAATATTTAAGCCTAGCACTTAAAGGTGAAAGAAAGGAGGTGCAGGCTCTGTCTTCTTGAAATGTTTCTCTTTGCTTTTTTTTCAAATCATCTGCAGGAGACAATTTATAAAGGAGATTAATTCAGTTGAGACCTAGATATTGTACAGCCCATTCCAGGATCTGACTGCTTACAGCTGGAAACCAGTGAAGACTCTCTTAACATGATTTGTCTAAAAGTTCTGAAAATTAGGAAATTGTGAAACTGTTTTGGGCCAAAAATCATGTCTGAGGTAAATCTCAGTGTCTCTTATATATTAGAACCCAGTGACTAATCTTGTACTTACTCATTGATCCTAGTGGAATCTGATAAAAACCAGTCTCTTTTTCTTTTTCCATAAGTAAAAGAAAAGTACTGTGTAAAATTGATTGGATACATTTAATCAATCAATGCTTGGAGGCATTAAATTATTCAGTGCATTGCAGGTGTGTGCAGTTTTTCTGGGCAGATGCAGATCTGTCTCTTTTATGAATTCCCCACAAGA